TGATGAAGAAATGCAGTGAATTTTGGAAGCCAACTTCTTTTTAAATAAATAAATGTCAATTAACTTTCCTCAACTGAAAAGAATAATAATATGATTTTATTTACAAATCGATATTACATATAAATAATTGTTTCAATCTGCATTACAATATAATTCTTGCTAAAGAAATGCAATTCTAGATTGGTTATAATTCATGAATCTTTAAAATAACGAATATCTTAAACATATTACAAAAAACCTATCATATTAGATATTTTTAAATAAACAAATGAAATATTATTGTTTGGAAAGAATAATAGAAAAGTAATGACTTCATATTTACTTTGACACTTGATTTAATTCTATTCCTTTTGCTTGTACCAAGAAACTTATCGCATTTAGATAATAAAAATAAAGAGAGTGATTTATTTCTTTTGATTTTTCTATCAGAATCGAATAATACATATGATTTAATGGTATAAATGAAACGTTTTGACGACTGTATCCTATTCTTATATCAAAGAGAAATTGTGTGACTTCAAGCAGAAATGCGTCGATCACATGAAATTAGAAAGAAATACTTTTTTTTACAAACACATTGCCGTCATTATAATACATCGCTACAACTCATACAAAAACAAAATTTTACGAGATAATCGACTTATTGATGATTTTTGTGTAATTATTAGTGTCAAAATTATTGATTAAAATCGTATAAAAATAATCGATTGTTTCTTAACTATTTCGCAAAATTTTTTTTTGCATGAGAAAAACACAAAACAACAACAAAGAATTTCTCAATCCATGTTTTCATTCATTCGTAGAAGTTTAAAAGAACTCGAGAGAAATGCCTATTCAAGTATATGCATATGTCTAGATATGAATTATTTGTACATTTTCTTTCCATTTCTCCTTGATATGCATGACTAGAGCGTGAAGTGAAACAACTTTCCTTATTGATTGTTTCGGTTGTAAATGCTATGAACTGCTCATTGATATAATCATATTTAGCACTCTACAATCGCATAAGAAATGTGATAGAGAGTCTCTGATTTATTTTCAACGTGTCTCATGTATGAAAAATCATATATTTTTTTCTTTTAACTTTGTTTATTTTCTTGAACATTATGATCTATTTTTACTTTATTTGCCGATGAGTAAAAAATTATGTATTATTGAACTTTAAAAGAATATATCAATTAAAAGTTATTTATTTTGGCAGAAATAAATAATAAAGAATAATCTCAAGTGACAAAATTAATATACTTCATATAGAATAGAAATATACGATAAAATCAATGTTTTTCTTGTATTCATATTGCTTTTTATTTTAGTTTATTAGTCAATTAAAAAAGATGTCGACGATCACTCTTAAGAATTAGGACGAATAGGTTGTAAGGGTGCGGGTATGCGTGTGGTTGTGAATATTATACTTAGCTAACGCTCACCCGCATCCACCCATTGTTGGAAGACATTACAGCTTACAAAAATCGTTCGTACTATTAAACAATCTATTAAAAAAAGAAAGCGGGTGTGAGTGCCTCTTCTCTTAGTCCACGTTCACACCCACACCCACGAAAAATCTCAGTAATTCGACTTAAATCACTACTGTTTGCCCTATGACCCCTCTAAAATAACACCATTTGATAGATAATTTAATTGCGCATCCAACAACACCATTTAGAAGGTCAACACAGATTCAGTAGCGAATGTGATCAGAAAGTACTCGAGTCTTCTGCTAATTTTTCTTTCGTTAAATAAAATGTACTTATTTATTTCGATAATGTAAAGAGATAAGATAAAAGTGAGAATCTACTGTTCTCTTTTCTGTGTAGTGGAGAGAGAGAGAGAAAAAAAATTTATTAAATAAAGGACGAAGTAAAAGTATAGAACACGATGAGAGATAAGCGGGAGACGCGCATATGATCTAAGCTGTGTACACAGGTAGGAGAGAATAGGCATACAATTATTTGGTTACATCAGCAAAACAACAGAGCATTCAGATATATTATTTTTGATAACTTTAATACTTTAGACTATTCAACATCAAAATTATGATGGAATCAACAGAAATTAATGACGAAGAAGCAGCAAAACAGCAACTAGCTGCACAACCTGCAAAAATTCCAACTCATCCAGATGAAGAAAAGAATCTTCCACTACCGAATATTATTCCTGATGGTGTCTCACCATTAATACAACATCCACTTGATCCATTAAATGCTGGTAAGAATGAAAAGAATAAACGTCATGTTATTATTTGCATAATATAATAAAGAATTATACTCTAATAATTTATTGTTTAGATGAATTTAATTTAACAACACGTTTACTTCATGCATCAAAAATTTTCCAACCTCACATGCGTATTATTACAATTCTTCCGCAAGAACCTGAAGATAAAAATTATGTTCTTAATTATAAATCAAAAGATCTATTAGAACGACGTGCAGTCGCAACAATTCGTGATCCAAAAGGTCGAACAACTTATGTAGCTATTGTTGATTTAATAAAAAAATCTATTGAAAGTTTTACTGAATTTAATAAAGTTCAACCTAGTCTCACCTTTGATGAGATGATCGAAGCTGATGATGCACTTCGTTCAAGTGAAGCTTTATTAGCTGCATTTGCAAAACGAAATATCCAAATGGATAAAGTTGTTTTTTATCCATTTGCATCTGGTTATCGTGATGAACAAGATGCAGCATCGAAACGACGAATATTTCGTCCTTATGCCGCTGTTAGAAAATGGCCAGAAGATAATTATTATGCTCATCATATTGACGGTCTTGTTATCACTGTTGATTTAGATTCCTTTACTGTTGATGTCGAAGATCATCTTGTTATACCAGTAGCACCAAAATCTGGTAATTATGATCCAGAAGGTATTACATCACCTGATAATATACCTTATTTTCCTGATGGTGTTCGAAAAGATCTTAAACCACTTATTATTACACAACCTGAAGGTCCATCATTTCAAATAGATGGTTATCAAATATCATGGCAAAAATGGCGTTTTAGAGTTGGATATAATGTTCGTGAAGGTTAACAGTATTATTTTCATTTTTTTTATGAAATTAATTAATAAAAATGCTTGTTTTAGGTCTTACAATCAATATGGTTGAATACTTTGATCAAAATCGATGGAGATCTATTTTTTATCGAGCAGCTGTTAGCGAAATGTGGGTACCATATGCTGATGGTAGCCCTGCACATAATTATAAAAATGCATTTGATGTTGGTGAAGCTGGAATGGGTTTATTAGCCAATAGTTTAGTACTAGGATGTGATTGTCTTGGTGAAATTCGTTATATGGATGCCGTTGTTAATAATAATCAGGGCCAAGCCTTATTATTAAAAAATGCTATTTGTATCCATGAAGAAGATACAGGACTACTTTGGAAACATACTGAGTAAAAGAGATTATTTTTTTTCTTTCTATTATATGAATAATTCTGTTCTGTATTAGATTTGTTGAACAACGTACTCAATGTCGTCGTGCAAGACGTCTTGTTGTCTCAACTATGTTGACAGTGGGTAATTATGAATATGGCTTATTTTGGTATTTTATGCAAGATGGTACTATTCAATTTGAAGTAAAACTTACTGGAATTATTGCACCAGGTACGCACGAAAAGTAGAATATTTTTTTTATTATAATAGAAAGAATATTTTTTTTCTAGGTGCAATTGAAAACGGTAAAACACCGGTATCTGGTGGAATGATAGCTGAAGGATTATATGGCCCACATCATCAACATTTTTTTAATATGCGTATAGATTGGATTCTTGATGGAGTAAAAAATTCACTTGTTGAAGTTAATTGTGAACCTATACCGAAAGGATCAGACAATCCAGCTGGTAATGCTTGGATAGCTAAAGAAACAATCTTAGAAACTGCTGGTGAAGCACATCGATTACATGATGCAACAAAAGGACGATTTTGGAAAGTAATTAATTCTCAAGTTAAAAATCATGTTGATCAACCAGTTGCTTATAAGATTGTTCCATCATCTCCAGCATGTTATCCATTATGTGATTTAGATTCTGGACAAGGTGGAAGAAGTGCATTTGCTCGTTATCATTTATGGGCAACACAATATCATCCTGATGAATTTTATGCAGCTGGTCTTTTTTCTAATCAAGCTAAAGGTGATGAAGATGGTATTGCATTTTATTGTCAAAAACATAAAGATGATTCATTAGTTAATTGTGATCTTGTTACTTGGTATACATTTGGTATTAATCATATTGTTCGAGCTGAGGATTGGCCTGTTATGCCTGTTGAAACTGTTGGATTTCGTTTGCAACCTGTTGGATTCTTTGCTGGTAGTCCTGCAATGGATGTACCACCACCGATTGCTAAGATATGTACTGCTGAAGCATGTGCACATCATTAATGTCAGAAGATTAACAAGAATAGACATCATAAATTTATATTGCTTTAATTTTGTGTGTGTGTGATTGGTCTTTCTGAATTGCTTCGAGTTATTTACACACATTATTTTTCAATACTAATTTTCTTTCTCTCTCGTTTTTTAAACAGATTTAGTTAGAAAACTCATAATGAGCGAAAGACGACTATATTTTATGAACAACGATGAGACGTGAGGGTGTGGGTGTGGAAAGATCTAAACGCCCATACACATCTTTACCCACGCCCGCATCGCCATCCATACCGAAGATATCGTCGACATTTATATCCTAATACTATTTGATTTAAGGTACGACCAACAGTTTTGTTTGAAGAAAACTATACTCTCTTAAAGGGTTCTGTAACGAAATATTCCTTTAATAAGCACTTTTGTCGTTATATATATAAAATTGACAAAATGTTAATGATTAATTAACATAAAATATAACGCTACGAATTTAATATTTAATTTGAATTAAATGATAGATAGATATAGAAAATCATAAATTAAGACACATTCAGTAAAACGTATGTTAAGGTAGATACATTGAGAAGAGTCACGAAGATAGCTCTACGTGGTGGTTCTTACCACGAATACTAATCGAATGTTCCTGACAATGTTCTAAAAAGAGAATGCCTCCTCTTCTAATCCTTTGATGGAAGATCGAAGTCTACTTCTATTTTGTCTGCACTAAGAATCAAGGCTTATCTAAAAATGAGGTAACGTAGATATTTGAATATGGAAGGGATATATAATACTTTTTTTTAAATTTTATTCATTTTTGCTTCAACTGATGACCATCAGGCCCTAACAGTACAGAGAATAACAAAAAAAAATAAAAATAACAAGAGAAAATAACATAAGTTAGCAAGAGGATAACAATAAAAAACAAAAGAAACAAACCGAAACAACACAAAACTTATATATATAAAGAATAACAAACTAATTAAAAAGAAAAGAATCTGAAAAAATACGGAGGAGTTGAATCTCCTCCATATCACAAAAAGGAAAAGAAGAAAGAGAAGAATTAGAAGGTATATAATACTTTCCAAAGAGTGGAGACGTCCTTTTCTGAATGTGAAAGAATATAGTCTATTGTCACAGGTTCATAAACATCCATTTATATCCATTATATTTATTATAATATATTTTGTTGACGATGGTAGTAATAACATTCGATCAATTTCATTTACTATGTCAATGAATATATTTTCGAAGTTTTGTTCAGTTTTCAATTTATAAAAGAAAAATCGAATATTTTTTTTCAAAAAGATCATCTTATCAACAACGTTCATTACGTTTTTCTATATATTATGTATGAACAAAACATGATTTCGGTACATCTAACTTTAAGTCGTCATTCTACAATTCATAAATTAATTTTTTTTTTTTAATCTTATGTTAAAAAATGTATTTCTCTTACTTTAAACTTAAGTAGTATTTCATTTAATTTTGTCATCATCGTAAAATCAAATTTTATATTTTTGTATTTACAATTAACCGAGCGTATTTGATTTACACCTTGAGCCAAATGTAGAGAATATACGCATTCGTTATTCTAAATTTAAAATAAAATTATAATTAATGTTTTTGATTTTTTTATACTTTTCCTTGTCGATGAGGAAAATCCAGGTTGAACAATCCGGCATGGAAACGGTCGGTTCCACCGAGAACCGATTCCAGGCTCAAATTCTTGACATTCGCCGGGGTGGACCTGAGTTTGGGTAGAGAGAAGATAATCACTCACACCCACCCCTCACAAGTTTCTTAATTAAGTAACATGTTTTCAGAGCGATGTTATTCATCTCATTTGATCTTTTATGGAAAATTTCGTAAATCGTTCACTATTGAAAGATATAGTGGATCTTTAAGTAAAGCATGATGTGATGGTTCCATATTATGTGATGGTGATTCCATATTTCTTTGTTGATGATTACGTGCTGATATTGCATCAATTTCATTAACTATCTTAATGAACATATTGTTGAATTTTTGTTCATTTTTAAATCTATAAAAGGGAAAATCGAACATTTTTTTTTTAAAACAACATCTTACTCAAAGGTTTCTTTATGTTTTTGGACATATTCATGGAAAAAACATGATTGTTCTTGATTTATATTAAATAAATTATTCTAAAATTAATACATTAATTTTTTTTATTTAATCTCATATTAAAAAATGTATTTCTTTTACTTTGAAAATGAATATGATTTTCTCCATTTCTAACTTCATACTGAAATTGATGAATGTGTTTTTATATACATAACTAATTGAATATGTATTGTTTAGACCCTTTGCTAGTTCTAACGAATATATGTATTTGATACCTAAAACTTCTATTAAAATTATAATTGAATTTTAAATTTTTTTTGTATACTTTTTGGTGTCGATTATGAAAATTCAGATCGGACAATCCGGCGCGGGAACGGCCGGTTTCATTATATTCCCGTTGGCCGAATGGGATGACCGAGCTTGTTCGGTTTCACCTGGAACCGATTCCATGGTGGAATTCTTGGAATTTTCCGGCAGGGGTTCCTACCGAAAACGGTGAGCTTCCTGAGGAATTTCACTGGAAATTCATGGAGTACGGCTTCACGAATTATCGACCTTGGATATGATCGATTGACGCCTGCTGCTAAATCTAATAAATATATATATATTCGTTATACTAAATTTAAAATGAAATTAGAATTAAAGTTTTATATTTTTCTTATACTTCTCTATTTCGATATTTAAAATTCATGTTTTTAATGAATATCTGCAATTGACCGAATATTAAACGGATCATTTCACTTTTTTCATCTTTTAATCGGTTCATTTTTAAGTAAATCTGAAATGAAAAGGAGAGATCTTATAGAAATAGCTTCAAGATTAAATCATTTTTATTTTAAGAAATCAGCCTTGGCCTTGCTTTTGTTGATGCCATGTTCGCAAGGAGTGTACTGAATGATGTGTTTCCTTTTAATGTGAGTATCACACTAGGACACCGTTTTCATGAATTATTTTCTTGATAGGTTTCAGTCATCTAATGTTGTTTCTATATGCACCCATTTGTGTCGCACAGATGTGATCCTACCAAAATACAAAATATGATTAAGTTATTTGATTTTCATTTTTACTTACCACAGAGGGCTCCGAAGGCGAGAAAACCTCAAACTCTTTATTATGTGTATCCGCCCGAAGAGTAATGTGATGATTAAAAAACCCTGACTTCTGTTGTGCCTTTCATTAAATGGAACTTTTTCAATCTTGGTTGAATGCATTTGAATAGACGGTTGTTCACATGAAATTTAGTACGTGGATTTGCGTCTAGTGGATTCTGTAAGAATCGTCATCCTAAATTTAAAATAAAATTCGTATTAAATTTTTAAATTATTTTTATACTTTTCGATGCCGACAATGAAAATTCAGGTGGAACAACCCGTTACGGGAACGGCCGGGTGTGGGATGGGTGTGGGGGTGGGGTGGGTGATTGTCTTCTCTCTACTTACACTTCTACACACACACCACACACCGACACCCTCAAATAATAAAACATATAAGAAATTGATTTTGAAATAAAGAAAGATCATTTCCTTTTTATTGATCATTATCAATTTGTTAATAAAATGATTACAATAATATTTATTCTTCTCGTCAATTCTTAACATTGAACTTGATCGATATTGAATTTAAAATATTTAAAGAATTCACATTCTCTCTCTTAAACATGTTCTTATATATCTTCGTTCTATGAATATTATCGAGAAAATGTAAATTATCAATTGAAATCAAATATATTTACTCAGATGTACATTTATATCGTTGAGTCTTTATTCTAATAGATTTCGTGGTGTCTAGATATACTATTGAATAAATTTCTTTAATAACAATTCTTAATAATTTATCGTTCATTGAAATGTCTTACATTAATATTAATCAAGTGAAAATAATATTAATAGAAACTTATTTGAATTAAGTCAAATAAATTAATGAAAAATCTAAACTAGAATTGATTTACATATTTGAAATGGTTTTATTTTAATCTAATTTTATTCGTCGTTGATACAATTGAGAAAATAATTAGAGAGAAATACTATAATCAAACTTTTATTATTACAACTATTCTTTTCATCTAAAATGAAAATACAAAATTAAGATTTAAAAAAACAAATAATTATTCATAGAATCAAACACCTCTTTTACTTTCATTTAGATGATAAACGAAAAAATTTGAGATCCTTATTGAAAATAACTCAATTAAAATAATAAGATACTTTTTTTTTAAACAATCGAATCAAAGCAATTCCTTTTTTTATTTCATCGTATAATTTACCACCAACTTTATTTTGCATTTCAAAGTGTTAACTATTCTCATTGATTATTATCAAAGAGTTTTTTATAAAAAAGAACAAGTCAATGCAAAACATATGGAATTATTTTTGTTAAAATTTTCGATAAAGAAAATTTCTATAAAAGAAAAAGCTTTTGATTAATATAGATTACCTTGGCAAATAAAAAAAGATAATATGAAATTTATCTATATTTGTGTGTGTATGTTCGTATTTATACCGTTATACAATACAATCTATAATATATATTTTTTTTCTTTTTCACGTATATATTAACTAACAGATAGAATAATCATTTATCCGTTGTTGATTGATTAAAGTACATGAAAAAATAGTAGAATCTCATGTTAATTTTGGATTGAATAACATTTCAATACATGATCAATCTGAAGATAGATTAGACAATGTTTTAATTAAATATATATCTGTTTGAGTGACATAAACACGACCATTTATTTCAATATCAACAATTAATAAATAAAAATTATAAACTATTCTAAATAAAACCAATTATATTTTTTCAATTTACATTAGATTATTCGATTCAATAAAAAGTCAACAACCAATTCAACTTATTTCAACAAATCGTTTAAATGAAAAAGATATTTTAAAAATTTCATCATTTAATAAAAGTATTGACACATTTGTCTATGTTCTTCGTAGTATTGGAACATTTTATACATAGAACGTTGATACTGTAACTAATTTAAGAGATTGTAAAAACTTTCTACAGGTGTATCTATATATTACAAATAATTATTTTTTACTCACAGTGAAAGAAATTGTTTGGCTAAAAAGAATTTATGCTCGAAAATAGTTATTAACTAATGAATACAGAATAGATTTACTATCATGTATCTAAGAATAAATTAAATAAAAGCAAATACCATTCAGTATATTTAATAACACGATATCATACATTTGAATATAAATTATATTAGTCCTAAAGAGGACTGTTGGGTTTTCCATTCTTTTATGGAAACTTTTGCATATCGTCCAATATAGAACGATATATTCGATTATTAAGTAAACCCTGATATGGTGGTGGTGCCATATGATCTGATGATGCCATATGATTTGATGATGGAATAGTATGTGATGCTGCTATATTAAGTTGTAATATTATATCAATCTGATTTACCATTCCATGTAACATATTATTCAATTCTGGTTCATTTTTGATACTATAAAAGAAAATTGAATATTTTTTTTAAAGAATGATCATATTTACCAGTATATTCCATTATGTTTTTCTATCTATGTATAACCAAAACATGATTTCGGTACATATAACTTTAATTCGTCATTCTAAAATTCATAATTAATTTGTTTATTAAACTCATATTAAAAAATATATTATTTTTACTTTAAGAATGATCATGATTTTGTTTGTTTCTTTTTTCATTTGTAAATCGATGAATACTTGTTTGTATATATAATCAACTACAAACGTTTTATTTGGTCAAGCAGCTAATTCTAACGATAGGAACTGATCACTCTAAATTTATAAAGTAAAATTCAAATTAATTTGTAAATTGTTTTTGTACTTGTCGCATTTGATTTCGGTAATTAAAATTCATCTGTTTCATGAACTTTTGTAATTCATAGAAGAATAATTCGAGAATTTCTCGTTCTTGTTTTTGTATTGAATTCATAGGTATGGAATCTATAATAAAAAGTAGATTACATATACTTAAAAACTACTTAGAAAGTTCAATAAGTGTGAAATAGTAGAATAACCCATATCATTTAACAAAGTATGGTGATGGAATTATCTATATCTTCTAACAGTGTATCATTGTCTTTTTCCTTTTCTGTTATGGTTTATCTCATACATACACATATGTATACCTGTCGTGATATATATGTGTTATATATACAAGTAATGCTCGTCTCAGAACTTGCTTAGCTCTTTCTTGTAGAAATCCATCTTCTTCACATTTACAGAAAAAACAATCAAAAACCGTGGAAAATA